TAATTTTATTTTTTTTTTTTTTAATAAAATTATTAATGAGCTCCTCCATATTTAATTATCGACCATTTCACAATACAATGTCGCAATATAATTTACGTTTTTGATTCAGTGTAGATCGAAGATAACTTTTTAAATGTCTTAAATAAGAAAATCAGCTTTTATTCGAACAACTTGAAGAAGTTGTAGAAGCGTTGAAAAGAACGCGAATAAAGTTTACGTATTTTGATACAAGATATCTCAGGATTGTCACATAAAAATTGCATTACATCCTTCAAGCAATGCAGTGGCATTTTTTGTATGTTTGTAATTTCTACATTATGATTTTTAATTTCTAAATTTCTCCCCGACTAAATATCATACAAATATGAAATTCAGTATATAGAATACTCCATACCAATCATACTGAAGTCACTGCTCATGATTAACACATAAATCGCAATTATAATATTGCAGGCTGATGCAAGCGCGGGATCGGGAGCCTTTGAGATGCATCCAGAATTGCACACCTACTCACGCATCAAGTATGCCAGAACTGCCACCACCTCCGCGGCCATCGTCGGGAGCATCGGCATCAATATCAACATCGACCGCCGGCGCAACGTCCGCCGGCGTACTGTCGCAAGAGCCGGCGACGTCACCGGCCAATCCCGGGATTGGAGCCAGCCAGACGGATCCGCCGACGCCAACGTCGAGACGCGTGCGATTCCAAGGGGATCTAGATGTCAACGATCACAGCGCGACATCGCGCATCCCTCTCTCGCCAACAAACGATCGGAATTCGTCATCATCGCCCTCGCCCACGTCGCTGTCGAGAGCAAACGTGTCACGATCAAGAAGTCTGCAGCCCGAGGAAGTCGCTAGCACGTCTTGGGGTGCGTAAAATCTTTGTCTTTAGAAAAAAATGTATGGATGATTTATATTTTGATGGATGATTTTTTTTTTTTTTATATTCCTATATAAAAGTCAGTATCATGCGATAAGATGGATCTTTTGATTCAGTGTATGCCGCTTCGGGGAGCAAAGGCCACATAAAAAATATTCCACAAAAACTTAAAATTTCCGAAGTTCTAACGGTAAAACAGCGAACGGAATCGGAGACCTCAAGATTCGACTGTAGTTGAAACTGGTCACTGACCTGAAAATAAGACTTATAAATAAATATTCAAAAATTTAAATCTTTAACATTACCTTAGCAGCCACAGGTGTTATAGAATATGTCGTTATAGAATATGGAGGAAAAATTTCAAAATCAATCAAAGATTAAATCAACTCAGTTTTATAATTCTCATAATTAGGGTAAGCTCATCAAAAAATACGATTAAGATTTTGAAAACGAAATCCACAACCAGGATTATCTCGAACACTCATTTTGATATAAAAATAACCCGTAATATATATAAAGTTAATGGCCTTACTAAAATTCGATCTATTTATCCTTCATTTTTTAAAGAGAAGTAAATTAATATCTTAATATTTAAAGACTCTTATCTATGTCAGCATCCTTGTTAAATGAATTCTGTTCTTATTTACTAAAACATATCTTTGCAGGAATGGCAAGCACGTCTAGGTCGAGAATGGACGGCGAGGATGACGACGCCGAGAGCTGTTGCTCGACGTGCAGCTCATCCAGTAGCTCGGACGAGGCCGCGGCTTACGCACTACCACCACGACGAGCCTACGGCGGCGTCCGGATTTCTTACGTGCCAAACGACGCAGTAGCGTGCGCGCGAAAACGCGCGCCCGCTTCCTCGTCGTCATCGAATCAAGCTCAGAGAGACACCGAAAAATGCATCATATCTTGATAACTCCTTCGGTACTCTATGAGTTTTGACCTCGTCGTTATGATAATTAGGAGGACTACAAACATACGACGTTCGAGAAAGAGTTCCTACGAAGTGGATGCACTTTTCGATATCTTTCAAAGCGTTGTCGACGCCTGCAGCATCGCAGCACGTCTTACACGCATGCCAAACATATGGTCGTGTACGACAAATTGAAAATAATACTCATTTCATTTCTGTAAATATTGTAAGCTCTCTTCCGGGGCACGCGATCGTTAGCGAGCCGCCACAATCCAATGATCGCATCCCTTTATTTTTAATACCCTATTAATGTATTTGATAATAATAATAATGATAATGATAATAACCTTGTGTGTTGTCATTCACATTTTACCTGTTACGAAATAAAAATACAACAACAATATCCGCTGTTATTTATGTTATTATTGTGAATAACTGCAACTATCTATTCGTGTGCAGAACCGAAGCTGTTTAACGTAAGTATACCTTCTAATTATACAACATTATTCTCTCATAGCTGTATTCGATTGTTTATCATTTATCTGTGCGATGATGCGATAATCACTCTCGTCAAGGATCATTTTCTTAAACGGTGAAAATTCTAGGCAACATGATCATTATGAATGATAAACTGCAATGCAAAATTTCATTATATAGCTTATTTCGGTAGAAAGTATTCTAATACAATTAAATATATAATTATTTTTCTTCGGAATTATACAAGGCATGACATTAATTAATTTCACTCTTCTACTTTATCAAGCAAGATTATTAGGCAATATATATATTAAGTTCTTGAATTTTTTAATTAATAGAAAGTAAATGTTCTCTTTTTCTTTTTTTTTTTAAATTAATGTATAGGAGAAACTGATTTAATTATATTCAAATTACTAATGCGGAAATCGCTGCATTATTTGTGATTTCTCCACCACGAATCTAGAAACGAGGAAGAATGCGGCGCACTTGTTTTCAATTTGGCTGAACAAATCGATCGTTCACTTTCATATTTAGAGCGGTATGGAAATCTTCAAGTAAAAGCGGTGGGACAAGAGCGAAAATTGAAATTACGGTCGAGTGACGGAAAAAGCGAAAGTAGTAACCCCTCTTAGGGAATCATTCACAGCGTTAGTTCTAGCTCGTGGAGATACTCGTGCTTTCTCTCATCTGGTGAGCACATTATATGCTCTCGGCGAGAGATTGCATCTGACAGCGTGTCAAAATTCTAACCTTTATTAGGTCCTCGAATTTTAGATTTGGAATCTTTCGAATGATGGTTATTAGCATACGCATACTTACGATCATGCGTTTTGAATTATGTCAGTCTCGTTGAACGATAGAAACATCTGAAAAAGGATCTGATAAGATCTTTGATGAAGACAGGTTTATCTTGTGAACAGATGATTGTTTGTTTTTCTTTTCCCTATCCATTCTTCTTAAGATGAAGAAAAAAAACTTATCTCTTTTTTTGTCAAATGTTATCAATTACGTTTCTAAATTTTTTTAAGAATATTGAGAAAGATATTTCTAATTATATTTACAATTTTCTAAATAACAAAATATAATTAACTATGAAATTATTTAATACATATTTTATAATTGCAAATTGTGTAACAGTATCTTAATGGATATTTTCAAAGAAATTGATGCTACAAGAAGCTGTTCTCTTAAGATTTACATATCTTGAATAAGTGGCTATAGATCTTGATTAAGACGAGATTAATGGGCGATTGGAATGTAAGTATTCGTGTACACCGTAATTTCGATACAACGTAGCAAGATTTCAAGAATTTTTTTATTTTATGATTCAATATCCATAGAAGGAGCCAGGTACTCAATCTCTGTTACAGATATTTAATTCCCACATTTAATCATAACATAGACTTTCATAAGCTATAAATCTTTACATTTTATACATGAACAGAAATAAGAAAAAACAAAACTAGGTAAAAAGTAATAATGGCGGATAGTGGAGGGAATTATAATATAAATTGGATTATAGGGCATGTATTATGGAACTATTAAATAAAATATGAACATACTGTTGAATTAATCCTAACCGGAATTTATTTGAGACCTTATTCTCGAAAAATATTGTTTATATATGAAAATATAGCTTTGACCAAGAACATTAACTACCATATTAACCGTTATTTAGTTTTAGTTCAAAAATTAATTTATGGCATTTGCCGTGATTTATCTTTATTCTTTGTTTCAAAAATCCCGTAAACTCATTATAATATTGATAGAAAACAATACAAAAAAATTTTAGATTAATGAAAATGCAACGTATACTAACACTAAGTATTGTATTTTCGTACATTCTTAGATGCAATATTTTTTGAAAATACGGTTCTTGAACAGTTCATAATGTACATGTCCAGTTAAAGTCTGCATTCCAAAAAAACAGAAAGTACATATTCGGCGTAATTTGATAAATACAATATAATCTTCCAGTAAACGAGATTGGATTGAAATGAATTCAAATTTTCAGAAATATTGATTCACGAATGTTAAAATGAATGCTTTTCAATTCTGAATGCATTTTTATTCATTTATAGGAATTGCATAGAGCATATCTCTATGCTCTTCAATCTAAAAGTAATATTAGCTTTTTCTAGCACTCAAACACAATTGTGAATACTGTTCAATTCAAAATTTTGAATAGGAAATGCAATTTTTCAATCCATTAATTGCATTCGAAAAAAATTTCAATCCATTTAATCCATTCTCGTTTGCTGGGTTGACAATCATGAGAATTTTTCGAAATGCATCACAACTAAAATACATAAAAGCGCATAGTGTGATTGTTAGGTAAGGCGCTGGAAGATTTAGCAAACACCACCTCTACGCGGAATGCAGTTCGACGCGCCTTTCTTACGCCGCGAAAATTAGTATTGCCGCGTGTATGTGTGGCCGCGATTATGCAACTATCGCGTGCGCGCGAAACAAGATTTCCGAGCGGTAGCTCGCTAATTATGCGTCCGAAAGAGAATGCGCGATGTGTGCCTAATCTTGACAAAATGATTTTACGATTTTACGATTACCGAAGAAACGGGACCGAGTCGCATAAGGTGCTTTGCACCGTTATTCGAATTCCTTCGCAGGGAGAAACATTTAGATTTGCATTCTTTGGAAAGTTTTAATGGAAATAAATTAGTACAATTAATTTTTAATAATGTATTAATTAATGTATTTTCAATACACTTAATTTTTAAGTTACCAAAAACTTATATTTTATTAACATGTATATTGCATTAATAGTTGTTTCACTTACGGTTAATTAAAATGTCATTCATGTCCGTAAAGTAAACTACAAAAAGTGATTTAAAGAGATCCTAAAGTCGTCTGCTTTACCGACTAACGCAATAATTTTTATATAACAATTAGTTTTTTCTTGTCAATGTGTCGCACGGTAAAACAGCGATTTCGTCCAGGCAGTTCTCCAGGAATTCGGACTTCATTTTAAGATTCTCTTAAGATTAGTTAACAGCGCTACTAAGAATGCATATAATCTTTTCTTAAAGGAATAAACGCTGAGAGGAAAGTGTTTAGTACTATAATTGCATAGTAAAATAATTACGGTTAAAGAGCTCCATTTTTATGATCATTACTGCTGTAATGTTAATAATAATAACCATGTACATATAATAAATAGTTCTCTCAAACGCGAACATATTTAACTATAAATTATAATAATTTTAAATATAGTAAAATATCAAGACATAAATGGTAAGATAAACATTATTATTCAGCAAATGCAATCGCAATTATTATGAACATAATTATTTCTTTACAACACTATATGGTAATAACGATTAAAAAAATATGTTCAAAAAACTAAAGATTTTCAAGCAGTGTATATATTTGCATGATTAAAATAATATAAATATATAGTGGTCTCAAAATGACTACAAATTATAGTTAAATTATGATAATTGCCATTTTTGTCTCTCAATATACATTCTTGAATTGGATATGTGAACGACGTAACGACCACACTCTCTAACGCGAAGACGACATTCTCTTTGGTAAGGAAAAAGATCTCGATGTATCATTGTTGCGGATTTACGATCCATGAGATCACGCGTGTAAAAATACAGAATAATAATCCGCTGTTATAATCTCCGCAGTCCATTCACCGCAGTGCTACTCGTTACTCGTGTGATGGATGTGGCATACCACGTACGTATCGGATCCGCGCCGTTTCGCGGATCTGCCGCGCGGTATTCGCGATTGATCGATGACACGTAATACGCGCGCGATCATTACGATCCCGACCCGATGAGCGAGCGAGACGGGCGCCGATCGATCGGCGGTGAAACGCGCTTGCGGGGCAACGGCGGTGAATAGGAAGGACGACGTGCCTCCGTGACTTCTCCTCGAGGCCGACCGAGGGAGAGGCCGCATTCCGAGCCATGCACGGGAGAAAGCTCGTGTGCGCTTAGCCTGCGGGACGACAGGCAAGCCTTCGGAGGTCGAATGAGCGAGCGAGTGAGCTTTTCTCTTTCTCTCTTTTTCTTCCTCGCATGCTCATTCGCACTCGTAACACGCCGACGAAATTTCACGGCTCTCGATCGAGAACGCAACGTGCCGCATCATTCGTCGATATGTCGCCGATCGATGTGTTGCGAACTGATCGTATCATGAAGCATTGTGAAATTCCTCTTTCGCATCTCCCTCGTGGAGGTATTTGTGGATAGCATAGATTTTCTTCCTCTATTTGTAATATATCTCCGTTTATGAGTGTAGGATTATTTATTTGGTTCTTTATTGTACAATTCCAAGCCTTGATGCCGTTAAATGGAATCAAAGTCGAACAAAATCAAAAAGAAGATAAAATCCAATCCATAGCTGTTTGCGACTTGTCAAAAAATTATGTTCGGACTTCCTTTCGTGAAGTTAAACGCTTCTTAATGATTCGAATACAGTTAACATTTATGTTATCGAGGATAAGAATCTTCTATTCGTTATATATGGAAAGAATGATTTTTTAAAGTGTTTAAAAATTTACCTAGATATACATATGTAGATCTGAACATAATTTGGACCATCAAAATAATTGTAAATTATTAAATAAGCTCAAATTAGTTACTAAAATGTTAAAACTTTTTACAGCATTGTTATCATCACTTAAGCATCTTCATCATAATTATTTTGATCCAACAAAATTATTTTCAGGTCTGTATCTAACTAAATTTCTTAATACTTTAATGAAACTGATTTTTCTGTGTAAATCATACTAGTCGAAACTAGAAAACAATAATTAATTACTTACTTTCAATATTAAAAGCACTGTTGTCCTTTTAATATTAAACAACAGTGCTTTTTAGTATTCCAAATAAGTAA